GGCTCTTTGGCTTACAGTAGCCGACGTGGCCTAGTCTGGTCTTCGGCTGGCACGCAACCGTTCAAGATAATTAACCACTTATGTTTAAACAAATTTTAAGTGCAGGCACTCTTCCGATCGAAGTTGGGAGTGCCACATCGACGTGGGAATTGTGAAAAGCACGGGACCCGAAATTTGATATCCTGAAGGGGAACACGAAGTTATAAATGCTCTTGACTGACTTCTAGACTGTGAGCAGAAATAATTTTATTATTATAGAAAACTTGAATCCTAAATGCTTAAATTAATATTATATTTTACAAATACAAACTACAAACTGCAGACATCCGATTATACCCTTTGGGACTGACAAAAGTTTAGCAAATAATTTTCACAGGAAGTCCAGGCCGTATCAATAAAGAATCCACGATCCACTTCCGTTTTGCGTCACCAACACAATTTAAAAGTAATAATACCCATTATTTCAGAACGTTCTGTTCAGGAACTCTCTCGCTTTCGGCTTGTGAATACAGAGGAACTCTCCTCTGGTGCATTGCGGCGAAGTTTAAGTGAAAAACTTTTTGTTTTTCCTTTTTTGCGTTGAAAGTTTTGCAGCTTTTGGCAGAGGAAAATTGCAGCGGCTGCCATTACAACGGCCAGGGAAATCACAGACAGCGGTTATAGTAGTATAGTGGGGGCGTTACGGGAATGGATGGGGAAATGGAAATGGTAATGGGAAGGGCAGGGCAGGGACAAGCCGGGTAGGACAGGACAGGGAAATGGCAACGGATCCGGAACCAAGGAATGTTAACCGAAAACAAACAGCAAACAACGCGGTGACATTGATTTTTACGTGCCCCTGGACCAGGCAACAGGCAACAACACAACAGGCCACAAATGGCAGCTCAAGCCGTCATTAACACGCACCGAGCTTACTTCTAGTTCTTGGCCTACATTTCTAGAAAAAGAAATGGTACATAATATTTTATTAAATTTTAAGAAATAATCAAACGGCAAATGACAACCATTTTAAAAAATAATATATAAATAATAAAAGTTATGAATGTAAAGTACTTCAAAACAATAGAGATAGCTCAATTTTTAATATTTTTAAATTTTGTTTTAGAGATTTTACAGTAAAATAAAATGCATTATATAGCCATATTCATAATATATTAAAAGCTTCATTATCCTTAACTAATTTCTTTCTGGAAACAAAAAACCTTTCCACACCCGCTGCTTCTAAAGAAATTATTCAAGTTCCAAAATTTTCCATCCCTTTTCGAATAATCAAAACAGTATTTACAGTGTATTTTACTCAAGTCCTGCCCTTTCCTTAGTAACTTATTTTCTCGCAGTGTATCCCTTTGCTTTGAACGTAAAACTTAAGCAGCTTAGCGAATTGCATGCAAACGGAAGCCCACTGTAGCTGCTGCCCCTACACACAGGACATGTTCCCGTTCAGAAAGGACATTACACTCAGGACTGAGAACTAAGGACTCGGGACTAAGGACTCCGGACCCACATCGAAGCCAAGCCGGGCAACAAGAACTACAATGTTGTCGGACATTTAGACAATTGGACGGCCCTGGGGAGTGGCTGGCAACACGGCGCAGCCAGTGAACGGGGGCGGCCAAGAGTGCGGGCTAGTTGCAATTAAAGCCAAAGTAGTTTTGCCTTTTTAAAATAGTTTCCTTTTTTGGCAAAGACAACGTCTAGAGTGCCGGGCTCCACCGGCAGGAAGAAAAACTGGCAGGAGGAGACCTACAAAGGGAAGTGGCAGAAATGTAGCAATTACTTTAATTATTGGCGGCAGGAAATGGGTTGACAGACAAAGCGGAAAAGAAGACAAAAAAAAAGGGGGGAAGGAGATAACAAAGGAGAAGAGAACTCAAGGATGGAATTCTTAACAAAGAGGGGGGATTTATATATTTTTTATAACAACTCAATTATACTTTTAAAAGTTAAACAAAGTAGATATCTTAAACATTTATTTTTGTTATATCTTTACCTCTTTGAAAGTTGAAGTACCAGCGACGAACGCACTCGCAACACCCATGAAAAAGGTGACTTATCGTTCTTCCATATCCTTGAAGTCCTTCCGTTCCGTTGAACTTTCCAAACCACCCACGCCCATTCAATTACATGCCAAGGCAATTCCGAAATCTCTGGAAAAAGTGATTTTACTGTGATTTTTGTCTGGGACTGCATACTTTTTGGCGCCTTCTCGCTGATTTGTAATCACCCAGGAAGGACTTCGACCTCCGCCACCCACTACCTACTTCGCTTTTTCTTTGTCCTTTCGTTAATGCCGATGTCACGTAAAAAATTAGAGTGACCACCCGCTGATAGTTTTTTTTATTCATATACCCATCGTACCACCCAAGGCGTTCGTTTTGGCACGCCCTGAATTGGAATTTCGTTTCATTATTTTTTTTTTGTTTTGTAAATTGCTTCCACGCGTTCCATGCAAAACTTTAAGCATGATAAATGAATTCAATTGTTGTATGCAACTGCTCCTGTCGGGCAATTAACTTTTGCGTTTCCACCAAAGTGAAATTTGATTTTTTTATTGAACTGCATTTTCAACCACCGTGGAAATCTCATAAATAAAGCAGTCAACGACTGTCGAGCGAAAAAGGTAGGTAGGTTCTATATATGTGTATATATTCGTAGGCAGTCAGGCTATTAGGGAGCCCGCATCCCTCCCAGGAGCTGCATTTTTTTATTCCCCTTTTGACAGGAGGACAAAAATAAAATAAATAGTAAAACTGAGTCATTGTCAACAGTTTTTGTTAATCCGAAAAGGTTTTCCTTCACAAATATAACACCATAGAGAATTTCATTTTCATACCTAATGATATAATTCAAATACCAAATTGACAACCTTCTTTTAAAAACAAAATAAGCTTTTCAGCCTAAAAGTCAAATTTAAAGGAATAAATTTTATGCGAATCAGATTTGCATATTAGTTTCTTGGATTCAAACCAAAACTAAATTTGTTATTTAAATGGCAACATACTACTCGAAAAGCTTAAAAACTTCTTTGTCGAAACTTACATAAAAACCAAAAGTAACTAACAATATCATTAAACCAAATAATCCTTTTATTTTTGTCTGTGTTTCAATAATTTTTTTGGAATTTATATAAGAATACTGGGGCCTACTGGCGTTTATCAAATATCAAAATAAGTTGCCACCGCTCTGTGACGATTTTCATAAGTTTATTTATAAAACTTATATTTATAATATAAATTTTCAGATTAGAAATTAAATATTATTAATTTTAACCGTAAACTGTGGCGCAAACTCTCTGTGTCTTCGAACTAACTCTGATTCTACACATACGATAGATGCAATGTGCTAACTCGCTTCCTAAGCCGCATTTTTCGTTGTTTTTGGTTGAGGTGCATTTGGTTTCCAAATTGGTTAGCATATTTTCATCTTCGAATGACCCAGAATTTTTTTCCCTAAACCTATTTGGGTTTATCGTGCCGTTGACAATGAAACCAGTCGCAATCATTAAACAGTGCAATTCACATTTGGTAGCAATACCTGGGATGAGATCGTAATCTTGCCATTTATTGGCGCACTTAAATAATTTTTCTGATTCGCCATCCTAGATTTCAAAAATATCAAATGTATAATAATATATAAAGATTCTGTAAATGGGGTATTAAAATGGGGTATCTTCATGTTAGGATATACGAAAGCTAGTATTCCTAAGAACGTTATTAACAAAAGGTTAAACATTTTGTAATTATATTTTGTGGCCTTCTTAGCCTTTTATAGAAATAAATTTTATAGAAATTAGATTCACATATTAAAGAATATGTGAAGGATGCAAAGCACAACAAATAGAATTATTATTGTAACAAATCAATAAATTACACAAAAAAGTGTAAAATCTTCAAGGCCAAGCTTTTGACTTGTTCCTTTTCCACCTCCTTTTTGGATTGATCTCAAAATTGTCAGTAATCAAGCCACCAGCATAAATCAGTGTTGTGGCACTTATACTATATTCTATATTACTTATTCATAAAAAGGTATTATTATACTTATTAATAATAATAATTAATAATAACAAATATAATAATAAGTATAAATAAATAAGAATAATACTTAATTCAAGTAATTCAAACGAATAAATATTACCAAGAAGCTTCTAAATTTAAGTGAAACATTTTTCTGCCTCAAGATAGTAACATTTCACGGCCTTTATTTGGAAATCTTATACGATAATTTATTTTACATTATACAAATATTATCATTGACATTTTTATTAGACCCTTGCAGAGGGTATTATAATTTTGGTCAAAAGTGTGCAACGCAGTGAAGGAGACATCTCCGACCCTATAAAGTATATATATTCTTGATCAGGATCACCTCCTGAGTTGATATGAGCATCAACTCCTGAGTCCGTCTGTCCGTCTGTCTGTCTGTCTGTTTCTACGCGAACTAGTCTCTCAGTTTTAAAGCTAGAAACTTTGCACACACCCTTCTTTCCTTTGCACGCAGTATATAAGTCGGAACGACCGGGATCGGCCGACTGTATCCTATAGCTGCCATATAACTGATTGATAGGAAATGGTATAACTTTCGTGTTTTTGAAGATAGAAAGCTGGAATTTAATACAGATTCTATTTTTGGTCAGTTGACCCAACCTACCAAATTTCATTAGGATCGGCCGACTATATCCCATAGCTGCCATATAACTAAACGATCGGAAATGGTATTTGGTAGAAATATCAACTTTCGTATTTTTGAAGATAGAAGTTTGGGACTTTTTTTAGATTTTGTATTGTAATAAATTGGATTATATTTTCCTATTCCCATAAGGATCGGCCAACTATATCCGATGTTTGCGATATATATCCGGTTTTAACTGCAAGGGTATATAAACTTCGGCTCCGCCCGAAGTTAGCTTTCCTTTCTTGTTAAATATTATTATATTCGCTTAGAGAATGATAAATGGACAACGATGATATAAGAAGCGAACCCAAAAAAATAAAACAAATATATTTGTGTCAAGTATAAATTTTAATTAAATTTTCTATTACATGCATAAATGTATACATTTAAATCTTTTTTCCTTATTCATCTTACATTTTGTTACACTTATGCCGCTTTTTCAAGATTTTCAAACGTTTTAGCAACACATTCTGGTACCTTTTTGCCTAATTCGCACCTTCCTGTGGCCTTCACGGATGAGCAACTGGCCTCTAAAGCTTTTAAAAACTTGTCTCCAAATTCTTTGCTTTCTTTTTGATTACTTTGAGGTACCGCATCGGAAGCATCCTTTGTCTTACGATTCCAAGTCTTTTCATAAATATTTTTTACAATGATCTTCCCATCAGTCCCAATCCCATTTATAGCTTTCAAGTAACAATGATGTCTGCACGACCCTTCAGGATCGGGACCTTTTTTGGCTTCCTCTTGAATGCATCGATCGAACTCCTTTTTTTCGCCCTAGACCAAGACCTATCCGTGATTAGGATGATTATAATAAATACAATTTTTTGAACTTACGTCATTCAACCCTTCTGGGTCCATGGAACGAACGGAGCCGAATATTAGCAAAGCAGTCACTAATTGCAAAAGTAACATCTTTTTAATATAATAATTATGGACTGGCATGGCTTATATAGGAAAAATATTTAATGTCATTATTTCCGCACCCGTTACCTCGTAGCTAAATAAGTATTATATACAGTTTCAAGATATTTAATTTAATTGTTTCTGCACCTGTTACGTCATAAAAAACTATGTATAATATAAAATTAAAAAACATATAAACTTAAAAAGACGCTTGTACTAGCTTGCACCTTCTTATATCCTCCCAGCCTTTTAAACCTCCCAAATCCTTTTCAAGTTGATCTCGTCATTATTCAATTTAAACTCTATACATCATAGATGTATCACATCCGGCTGACTTCCGAATTTTTACCCTAATCCTTTTTAGGATTCCTTGCTCGCAATACCTGGAAGGAAATTGTAGAGTTTCTACTTCAAGGTATTGGCATTTCAAGGCTTTTATATGGAAATTTTTTTCGGTTATTTATTTGACATTGTATATACCTAAAATGGAATTTTCATTTATTATAATTATTTTCGTTGGCAAAATGGTGGTAAGAGACGATGATATAGACAGCAATGCTAGTATTAAATAAAACAAATTGTTTGGGTCAAGTATACACTTTATTTAAATTTTCCATTCGATGTACCTTTATTTTTGATCTTTCTTTATGTTAATTACCTAACATTTGCACACTTAGAAAACAGAAGTATTTATCTCAAAGCTATTTAGCGTTTTACCAAACCAATCGTGTACCTTTCAGCCTAATTCGCACATTCCAAAGATTTTATGGTAATTTTTCCGCACCAGTAAAAAACGGAGTATATTTTAAAATAAGAGTTTAAAGATACACTTCAACAACTCAGTGTCGATTATAAACTTTATTTTTTTATTTAAAAAACGTTTTTTACAATATTGGCAAAGTTAACTTCAATCTTTCAACCGATTTTTCAAAACAACCTTCTACCGTTTGGCCCAACTCGCACCTTCCTGTGGCGTTAAGAAAAGTGCAATGGGCTTCTAAATCTTTTAAAATTTTTCTTCCCAACTCTTGGTGCTCTTTTGACTCTCTAATGCTGTCAGGTAGCATACCGCTATCTCTTCCCTTATAATTCCAAATCCTGTCCCAAACTTTTTTCACATTGATCTTATTGGTGCCGATCGCACCTAAAGCTTTCAAGTAACATTGAGTTTCGCACACTCCTTCAGGATCGGGACCTCTTTTTTGTTCCTCTTGAACGCATCGATAATATACATTTTTTTCGATCTAGAATAATTCGTGTCCTTGATAAAGATGATTTGAATATATAATACTTTTGAAACTTGCCTCATTCAACACTTCTGGGAAAAATCTTTCTACTTTCGTGAAACTTTCTAACTTTCCGAATACGGAGCCAAATATTACCAAGAAAGTCATCAATGGGAAAAGTAACATCTTTCTAATTAAAAATTTTGAAGTGCTGTGGTTTTTATACAAAGGCTTGTTATGGATAATTATAGACAAATTGGATACAAGTACAATATTTAATGTCATTATTTACGCACCTCTTACATCACAAAACAAAAGTTATAATTCAAAATAAAAAATATTCCAGCTTAAAAAGGCACTTAAAAGATTCAGCGTTAAAATATTCCAGCTTAAAAAGACACTTAAAAGATTCAGCGTCGAGTAGTATGAAATGGAATGATTTTTATATTATATATCGAATATTTTCAATAAAAGCACAATAAGAAAATCTTTAAGCTAAAACATTTTTATTCAACGTTTTCTTTTTAAATTTGTTGTATACATTTTTGATTTATTCTAAGGATAAAATCCATTATGTGTCCATCAATTTATCAATTTTACCAAAACAATCGTGTACCTTTACTGTCGCCTTAAGGGAGGAGCAATTGGCTTCTAAAGCTTTTAACATATTTATTCCCCATTCTATGTTTTCTTTTGACTCTTTTATTTTTTCAGATATAAAAGCTTTATGTGATATATTCCATTTCCAAACCGAATTCCAATATTTATTGGTCTGTTCAGTACCGATCGCACCTGAAACTTGCGATTTACATTAAGCTACCCACGACTCTTAGGGATCCGGACCTTTTTTTCCTCTTGAAGGCATCAATAAAATTCCTCCTTTTTGATATAAATTAATTGTATCCATGATTATAATAAATTTTATTTTTGGAACTTGCCGCATTTAAACCGAATGGTACCAAACGCACCTTATTTTTAAAGCCGAATAAGTATTGCTAAGAAAGTTACCAAATGAAAACGTAGCCTCTTGAAAATTGTAGAGTGCTGTTGTTTTTATGGGAAGGCTTGTTATGGATAAATATATACAATAAAAAAACAAAAAAAAACTTTAATGTTAATTTTTCCGCACCAGTAAAAAAACTAAGTATATTTTTAAATATGTGTGTTTAACGATACACTTCAATAACTCAGTGTCGATTATAAACTTTATTTTTTCATTTAATTAACCCTTTTTTATAATATTGACAAAGTTACCTTCATTTTCAACCGCTTTAGCAAAGCAATCTTCTACTTTTTTGCCCAATTCGCACCTTCCTGTGGCGTTAAGGAAAGAGCAATTGGCTTCTAAATCTTTAAAAATCTTTTTTCCCAACTCTTTGTGTTCTTTTGACCCTCTAAGTATGTTAGGTAGAATAGCGCTATCTTTTTCCTTCCGTTCCCAAATCCTGTCCCAAACAATTTTCACATTTATTTTATTAGTGCCAATCGCACCTAAAGCTTTCAAGTAACATTGAGTTTCGCACACTCCTTTAGGATCGGGACCTCTTTTTTGTTCCTCTTGAACGCATGGATAATATACATTTTTTTCGATCTAGAATAATTTGTGTCCTTGATAAAGATGATTTGAATATTTAATACTTTTGAAACTTGCCTCAGTCAACACTTCTGGGAAGAAAGGATCTTTAGCGCCGAATACGGAGCCAAATATTACCAAGAAAGTCATCAATGGGAAAAGTAACATCTTTCTAATTAAAAATTCTGAAGTGCTGTGGTTTTTATACAAGGGCTTGTTATGGATAATTATAGACAAATTGAATACAAGTACAATATTTAATGTCATTATTTACGCACCTCAAACATCACAAAAGGAGGTATAATGTAAAATAAAAAATATTACGGCTTAAAAAGGCACTTAAATGACTCAGTGTCGAGGAGTATGGAATGGAATGCTTTTTAAAGTATATCTCCAATATTTTTAATAAAAGCACAATAAGAAAATCTTTAAGCTAAAACATTTTTATTCAGCGTTTTCTTTTTCAATTTGTTGTATACATTTTTTATACACTTTTGATTTATTCTAAGGATAATATCAATTAAGTGTCCATCAATTTATCAATTTTACCAAAACAATCTGATATCTTGATGCCTAGCTCGCACCTTCCTGTGGCCTTAAGGGAGGAACAATTGGCCTCTAAAGCTTGTAAAGTTTTTTGAGGTATCTCAGTGGCATTCCCCTTATCACTCCAAGCCCTATACCAAATATTTTTCACATCGATCTTACCAGTGCCGATCGCACCTATTGCTTGCAAGTGACATTGAATTTTGCAAGCCCCTTCACGATCGGGACCATTTTTTCCTTTCTCCCTAATGCATCGATTAAATTCATTTTTTTCGATCTAGATTAATTCGAAATGATGATTAGGTTGATTATAATATATAATTAAATTAAATAAGTTAAATAATTATAAAAAATAAATAACTTGCCTCATTTAAACCTTGTGGTATATCATGATGATTAGATCCAAATACGGTGCCGAATACTGAGCTGAATATTACCAAGAAAGTAAACGATTGGAACAGCAACATCTTTCTGATCAAAAATTTTAGAATTCTATTATTTTTATGGGGAGGCTTGTTATGGATATTTTTATACATTTAAATCAAATTAAAATATTTAATGTCATTATTTCCAGGTCTTCGAACGTGGAAATCTGAACCATTAATGTCACATCTTTCTTCTAGGTCTTTTTTTATTCCTAGCCTCCTATTTTGTCACTTATTATTAAATATATATTAAATAGAATTAAATTTTTTATTCAAAATAGAGTTAAAAGAAATATTTCGCAGTGACAGCACCATTGAAAGATATGTCGTCAATTTAAGATTTATTCTCCCAACTCAAAGACGTAATACCTTTGGAAAAGATCTGTCTTTCAACGGGGGAAACCCAATCAGGGATTTTCAGTTTACCTTTACCTTTTTACTTAACCAGCCTGTTGTCTGGCAAGTTTTGACTTTGACATTTTCGTTGGCATTGTCATCGTCCCGGCATCGTGGCATTCATGTGCAGACAATTTGTCCGGAGACTCCCGGGTCCGGGAGTTTTCGGGGTTGGGATGCCAATGCCAATGCCGGAGATAAGCGGCTTAGCTGGCTTATAAATGGAAATTGCAGCCGAGTTGCGTTTCCTGTTTATGTAAGATCTTGATCACAATGATGACGTTGCATGCTGGCGATTTGAAAAATCAGATTAATAACTCGAATTGCTCTTGAGCTCGCGCAGAGCGAGTGTCGAAGGCTTAAGCTTCCTTACCTCCACTTTCAATCCCGATAATTGGCTCACGTTCCAGGTAAACACAGAAAGAGCATATGTGAGCCAGGTGATGGAGATGGGAATGTGGCCGAAAGACGGAGGATGTGGCGCAATGGGGATTATGGCCCTGTGTCGAAATGTGAGGGTGTGCAAGTGGGCGTGCCGGCGTCTGTGAATTTTAATTAAAAAATTTTTCACTGTTGCACTTTTTGCAATTTTGATTCTGCCAAAAGGTAAAAGTGAAGATAACGAAAGTTATTTAAGAATGAACAAAGAACAAAACTAATTGGTTATGGTTAAGGGTTTGTGGTGTGAATTAAACTAATTATAAAGAAAATAATATGAGAGACTTTAAATCATTGAAGCGTTTGGTAAACTAACCCAAATTAAATTCGAATCACTCTCTGTTCACAAAACCACTTTATTCAAGCTGAAATTAAACTTTTATTAGCGACTTGGGAACTCGACTCGGACAGAGTGACATTTAATCAATGAAATGGCCAGCATCGATCTGAAAACTGACCCCAAAACTGGACACCAACAAAGGCACACACGCAGCCGGTCATGCTTCACTAAATTAAGAAATTAGTACCAAATAGAAAACAAATTAGGAAAGGGTCAGTTTGAAGACGAGCAGAGACCATAAAGGCCCCTGGGGATGACGAAACACTCACCACCCTGCTCCTATTTTGTGAAATAAATGACAAAATCAAAGTGGTGGTCAGTTTATGATGGTCCACTGGGCCCGCACATCCCGCTTTCATCCCATCCAATCGCCCGATAAGAAGAGGCATAAAAACTGACCACTGTCCACTCTCGATTCAAGGGAATAAGAAATAGTTGATACACGAACTCCCCTCCTCCCATCCAATCATGTGTCCCCCTGTCAATCATGCGGTCCATGGTCTATGTTCCATGGGCGATAATTTAACTATTTCCCGATAATGAAAACGGTCCAACAACTTCTGTCTGACTAGGCAAAATGGGCAAAAATCAAACGTACTTTTACTGATTGCCTCAGGGAGCTGCGAATTGGATATTGTCAAAGGGAAAGCCAGGATTCCGATGCTGATGATGTCGCATACGTAATGCCATTGATTAACTTTTATGCTAAAACGCAAAGGCGACAACTTGGCAAAAATTGAGTTAGGCATTATGTAAAAATAACCCAGGGGAGTTCCAAAGACCAGTACAATCGATACCTAATTGGGGAGTCCTGAGGTAGTTGAATACTACTTAGTTTCCTCCAAATAACGTTAAAGTCCCATTGAAACTTTATCTTTTAGACCGCATCTAAAAAGGTTAAAGTAAGTTTTCTTTAAATGAAAAGGTTACAGTGTAGTTAATCCACTCAACTTTTATCCATAACTAATAAACCTTAAAATCCCCAATGACATTATAAAAGTCAAATTAAACCATAAACCATTTATTCCAATATTAATTCCTAAAATGAAACGACTTTTTAGCGCCCTGACTTTGTTAGTCCTCCTAGCTGTTATAAATGCACAAAACTTTACACTTAATATTGACACAGTGAGTAAATAGCACAAAATTCCTTTATTCCAGTACTCATTAAAGTCATCGCCATGTAGACAAAATTAATAGGGGGAGTATATTCTTGCCTTAAAGCAGAGGGCGAGGTAATACTAAATGATCCTAAGATTTTACATGAGAACAAGTGCTCCAAACACTGCTTCATGGTGGCAGCAGGATTCATTGTCAATAACCAGATCAATCCCAACAAGATAAGCGACATTTTGTGCAAAGATGTCAGAAATTCGAACAAGGTAAAGGCACTGAAGAGCTCATGCCACAGCCTCAAGGATGCAGGAAAGTGTGAACTAGGAAAGAAGCTTATGGAATGTTATACTGCGGTCGCTTTAAAGTTCAAAGATTAAGTATTACGGCTGTTTATGTAACAAAAATAAAAATCAATAATATATCTTGAATCAAGGATCAATTTTAACAAATTTTCAAACCAACTTGGAGCTGTCTCTATTTATTTGGGAGTTAATACTTGTCAAGACTACACCTTATTCGTTGGAACATGATTTCTTTACAAATGTTTGCTTTTTCCTAAATTTAAAGAAACAAATTTGAAACATAGATTGTAGTAGAGTTCTGGCCACATCAATTAATCTCCATTTGTCCCATTCCCCTTGAGACAGTTTTTCGAAATCATTTTTCATGCTTAGGTGCAAATATAGAACTCCATCATCCATCCATCTGGATGGTGTGGCGTGAGAAAAGCGTAACCAAATACGCTGCGGCTCTCGACAATTTTCACTTCACTTCTCCCCCAAAAATGTGAAACCATTAGCATGTCAGGCAGAACCCAACCCCCGCCAAAACAAAAAAAAAAATATAAAATACCCCAAAATATCAGAGCCTAAATCCCCTGTATGTAGGTGCCTTCCAGTTGGATATGTTCAATCCTTTGCCTGTCAGCCTACAAATAACATTTTCTTTAATTTGAGCCAGAGAAAGGAGGAGACTTTAAGCGCCTTTTTGACAATTTTCACGTCAAGTACAAATCCCCCCATCGACTGCCCGACAGACAGAGAGACACAGACAAGATGAAGATTCCCAGGAAAAATTTACATACCCGAGGAGCCAGAGTCTACTGTGGATATGTATATATATGTATATATATTATTATATCTTGTGTATAAGTAAAAATAAACACAATTTTTGTCGCTCTACTTCATCTGTGACTGGGCCTCTCTGGAGGCATTCGTTGATATAAAAATATGAAGCGGAAAATCAGTGACAGTGGCAGCCAGGAGTATTCCTCCTGTTTTCCTCCTGGTTGGTTCGGCTGGTTGTGTTGGTTGGGAGATCTGAAGTGGAGTTAAATTACTTTTGGATGTGGAGTTTGGGGAGCTGGGGAACTGGGGAGTTGGGGGAATCGGAACCAGGCGGTATCTACCCAGAGATACGGGCATGTGCATTCGGCATTTGCCTCCTCGGCCCTGTTTTTATTGGAAACTTATTCCCACAGTTCGTCCGACTGCTGGTCCAATCTGTCTGTTAGCTTGTCCGATTTGACTGGCAGCGAATGAAATATGACTTTATGTTGTAAAAAAAACACACACACCGAAAATCCCCTTTTAGAGGGAGGTGGGTAAAACATGTACGAAAATCAGCCAAAAAGGTTTGCTGATGGGTCTGCAAATTGCATTCTGATATTCGGCAGCTTCTGTTGTCTATTGATTTTTCTCAATTGTTGAAATTCAAGATGTCACAGATTTCTCAACTTATTAATAGCCCACCCTTATAAATTCCCTTACTTTCTCCGCTTTCTTTAAATTGATTTATGGACAAATCATGTAAATTTTACTGAGCATCAAACTTGATTATTATTATTATTGATGAACTCTACAATTCGCTGCCCGTTTGATGGGTTTTTATGACTTTGCCGCTGCAATTAAATGATTTCTAATTGCTGGCGAGGGGCAGGAAAAAAAATCCATCACAAATGATTTGTTGATTTATTGTGTCTTGAGACTTTGGCTCATAATTTGTCATATTCCTTTGACGACCCATTTTTTGATAAAGATTTATTATGACAAATCCCATTTTTTTGTTGTTGAGTAATTAATTATGTCGAAGCTTGAGCAATTTTTATGCTGGAAATTGATTGAGATAATCAAATGAAAGTTGATAGGCTAATAAAAATGGATTGGGCTGTAATCGGGGTGGAGTTTCTTAAGGTTTTTGTGTAGCTATTAAGATCCATTAATGTCTCAATTATGAGGCCGTATATGGAAATTGGACAATATAATTCTTATTGAAAAGAAATTTCTTAGAAGCTTGGGATTTATTGGTAAAATTATCAAAGAGAAAGAGCTTCTTCATCCATGATTTATAAAAGCCTTTCCTATCAGAAAACCACATTCCTGAAAGCCTTCCATTTATGAATGGTTTCTCAGGAGAATGCACGATTTCCCAGCCAAGACGTGTTGGCTTTATTGTTGCCCCATTCCATTGCTATATAAATATATGGACATACTTATATTCCCAAGCTTAATCCAATGCGACCAAAAACCGCCAGCAATTCCAGCGTCCAACCAAAGCCAACACATTTCGGTGATTTACATTGATAAAGTTAATGGAATGGAATGCGTGCGCGCTTGCTGACTGGGCTGCGATTTCGAATCCATTGCCAGCTCCTCGTCCTTTTCCTTAAGGATATCCAAACATGTGGGATTGTGTGTGCAGAAATTTGCATTTCTTGTGAGCGTCGCCGACATCGTCACACGCCAAACGGAAGTTGTATACAAAGAGTTGCACTTAAAAGGCACCCAGCAATGTACCCATTTCCCATTCATGTCCAAGGAGCGCCAAGGAGCCAAGGCTCTCAACATGCATACGACAACCAGGACATGCAATTTTTATGGCTTGTAAGCTGGCTCCCATTTCGGCAATCGAAATGGGCTTTTCTCTTTTTTTTATATAATTTTCTGGTATGGAGTGGCAGTCCCTGGGCGGAAATGAAAAGCGCCTAATCTAACAAATTTTCGTGCTAATTTAGGTCACAGGCGGATTTGCATAAATTTCGGCCCCGGTTGCAGGTCTCACCTTTTGCCACCTTATCAAAGTCCATTAGAGTCGAGCCACCCGCATAATTTGTGATGCCGTACTCGTTATGCTTTTACTTTTTCTGTGAGAAAAAAAACAACATAAGCGAAGTATTTTCTCGGTATTTAAGTCATACTGACACATGACAAATTCCACAGGAAAATTCCAAAACAGCCCAGGAGGGAGTCCTGGGACCGATGCCAGAAGTCATTAGCCGAAACACCCAGTTCTCAACCAAGTGGGTCCCGACGACCAGGCCCAAATGGAATTTTGTCATAAATGCTGTACTCGTTTTTCTTATATTTTTTTTGTAAATTTTTTTTGCCTTTGACGTTGGTTCTGGCACTAGTGGCATATTTTCGTGCAAATTTTCACGCTTATGCATATTCAAAGCGAGTTTAGCGAAATAACTCGCACGGAAATCTTGAATTATATAGGCTGGAGAATATTTACTTTTAAAGAAAAGGGAATACGCTATAAAAATACACTTTATTTGGATATTTGATTAAGAAACTTATAGGTATTTTTACCTGTTTTGGTGGAAGACTCCCCCGTATCACATTATGGGTTAAGCCCACCTCTCCATGCTATCACACATGGAAATGAGCCAACTAAGTAAGCCCGAAATTATAAATTACCATTGGATAGCCGGCACGAAAGCCACTGGCAGCTGATAGCCGGCTTTTTCCATAATTTTGCACTTTTGCAGCTGCCCAGGGGGGTGTGGGGGCACATCAATCAAATGTCATGGCAATGGCATTCCAACTTAGCGCTGAGTTATTGTTAAAAATCCATTTTTAGTCATAGGGTTGAGGTCGGGGAGTTATTCTGGAGTGGCGGCCTGGACTCGTGTTTTATGGTTTCAGGATTCAGTATTTAAGGCGTGGCCTTGCCAGGTTTTGGCCGCATTAAGTGCAGAGTTGCGTGCCCAAAACGCCCAACCCGTTCAAAGGTGTAAAAGGGGCGTGTCCCGGAGCCGGAGCCGGAGCTGACGCCACCGGGCCCCCAGTTAGCAATTTGCCTTAAATTGTTGCCATTTGTTTGGCCGGCGCTTAGCACTGAGGCGAGTGAGCTCTGGAACACAAACTTGCATTATTATTACTTGTATGTTTAAATTGTTTATCAAGTTGTGCAAATTATGGAAATTGGTATGCGTGAGACAGGAGACAGGAAGACAGCGGCAAGTCGCTGGAAATCCAGGATAATAGCTGGTGGAGTGACAAAGAAAAGAATGGAGTTCTGAAGTGGAATTTGCATTTCGATCGATTCAGGGTAGAAATTCTTTACAAACAATGATTCTATAAAGTAATGTGATTTACTGATGGTATTTGTGGATTTAAAAAAGGTAAAAATATAGGTTGATTAAAGATTTCTACACTATAGGATAAAAGTTAGACTCTAAGAGAAGGCTAGGACATGCGCTAATCAATCCATAAAGTCTGATGAAAATTAAAAGAAAAAAAGTACTAGGTTCTAAGAGGAACTACTTCAATTAAAAGCCATTTCTTGAAGGACCGTACTCAATTTAATTAAAAATGTGTTCCCCAAAAGTAATTAACTAAAGAAGTGCAAGGCTTTTCCATTAACTACAAAAACATACATTTTGAAACTTTCAGGCATAAAGTCCTCCCACTTATTTATCAATAATAGTTTTTTTTTGTGCCCAAGCTCATGTTAAGTGAAATGCATTTCAGGCTCTTGCCTCTTGGCCAAGTCCTTCACGGTTGAATGCACCCGTTTCTGTTTGAGTTTAACCTCGCCTGACCTACTCCAGTCCAGAGTGCAAAATTCTACAGATGGCGGCCGCTACGGCAGTGGCTCGGGGCAAATCGGGTAGCAAAAAGAAAATGCAATTTCCTTTCTCCATTTTTCATATGCGCATTAAGCGCCTTTTCCACATTTCAATTTCCAGAACGAGCAGCCTGCCGCTGCAGCGGCTGTTGCTGCTGTTGCTGCTGCTGTGGGTGTTGTGCTTCTGGCCTGGCCCACAACTATTGCCACCTGGGCTTGTAAGCATATAAAAATTAATATTTGAGAGGGCAAAGCCGAACGAAGAAGCCTTTCTGAGCCGGAGTGGGTTATGATTCCCCAGGACCTCTCGCAAGAGGCACCTTGGGCGTATATGGCCGAAATGTGTGGTAGTTAAAAATGCATGAGAAAAGTCAGTGTGCCGGAAAAGTGGGTGAAAGCCACTGGGCTGCAGTGGGAAACAGCTTTATTTCCATTTAAGTTGTAAATTATACGAGAGCCTAGAGTCCTGGCGCCAGGCGACCACCCATCCGCCGTCCAGGCATTGTCCTTGCCCTCTGACACATTATTTTCGCAATTGTCCGACCACAAAAAAAAGACATTAAATTAAGCGAAGGCC